CCCGATGTCCTTTGTCCTTAATACATTTTCTGTAATTTTAAAAAATTAGAATATAAGTACATAAAGGTACACAAATCATAATTATGCAGCTATAAAATTTTATGAAGTGAACAGAAGCGTATAATCACTGCCTAAATCAAGATACAGAACATTACCAGCACGTCAGCTTTCTCATGCTTCCTCTGCATTATTACCCACTCCCTGCAAGCATAGCCACTATTCTGATTGCGATGATCAATTATTTCCTTTACCAGTTTTCAGACTTTACATAAATGAAATAATTTCATATGTATCCTCTTGAGTCGCTCTTCTTTTGTTCAGTGGCATGTTTGTGAGATTCTCTTTTATTGCTGTCATATTTCATTGTATGTCTGTAATTTTGGCAACTATGAGTAAGTCTACAAATGTTTGTTACATGTATTTTGATACACCTATGTGTACCTCTTCTTTTTTTGTATACCTGGTAGTAGATATGCTGGGTCATAAGGTTTTCAGTATGTTCAGCTTAAAATATTTTCCAAATTCTATGCTTACCAATTTACACTCCCAGCAGCATAGCAGTATTTAAGTGCTCTTTTACCCCATATTGTCAGGTGGGTTTTTTTCCGTTTGTTTGTTTTGTGTCCTGCTCTGCACTGCATGTATGTAGTGGTATCTCTGTGGTTTTGATGATCACTTCCCAATAGTGTTGAACAGCTTTTCATATGCTTATTGGTCACTTGGATATCCTCTTATAAATTCCTGTATACTTTTGTTCATTTTTAAATTGGATTGTCTTTATTTTTCTTATTGATTTGTATAGGTTCTTTTATACATTCTAGATACAAGTCCTTCCTCAGATATATGAATTAAAGATATATTTTCCCACTCTGTGGCTTGCTTTTTAACCATCTTAATAGTGGCTTTGATGAACAGAAGTTTTTCATACTAATAAACTTCCCTTTACCAATCTTTTGTGGTTAGTGTCTTACATAAACATTCTCACTAATTGTAATACTATTTGCCATTGAGGAAGGCAGTATAACATACTAGTTGGGAGCATGCATTCTGGAGTAGGGGAGCCTGGGTTACAATCACTTATTGGTTGTGTGACTTTGAGTAGGTAACTTAATTTCTCTGTGCCTCAGTTTTCTCATTTGTAAAATGAGGTAATAACGCCTACTTTATAAAGTTGTTATGAAGAGTAAGTTAATATTTGTGAAGTGTTTAGTGACTTGTACATAATAAGCACTATATGTTAAATAAATGAATCATAGATTATAAACTTTTCGAAGTCAAGGACTATATCTCCACCATGTTTTATTCTCATAGTACCTAGTGTTAACATGTAAATAGAAAATATTTGGTAATTATCACAATAACTTTCTAGAAAAAAGTGAAATGGAACCCCAGAATATCCAGAAGTCAGGAATCTATGCCAAGAAGAATTTGGAAAAGCTTAACTAGTTTAATCTATAGAAAGGGAAAAGGGTAATTCATGAATTTGAATTTGAGTAACTTTTTTATTTTATCAAGAAACAAGAAGCTTTAATCATTCTTGGGAGAAAAATCTATATAAATCTAAATATTTGTACTATAAAAATAGCCCTACCAATTCTCTTATTTCTGGTCTGTGGCAGAAAAATCTATTTTTGTTGCCTCTTGAAGAGGAAGTAGGGAAGGGAAAATAGAACCTGTTTTTCTACTTTGACATAAAGTCAGTGAAAATTCTATATAGATTTTCCACAGATGGAACACTTGCGTTAAGTAATAGTATACAAAAATATGCATATAGTCCCTTCCTCTGACCCCCACCTTGTGACTTTAGTAGAGAAGTTAAGATAAATGTTAAACTGAATAATAACAATGTAAATCTCAATTTCTTGCCATTTGGAATGGTTTCATGTGTAATACTAAATATCCTAAAAATTAAGAAGCTATTTTATTTTGACATCAAGCAATGACACTATATCTAATGCTTGCTAAACTGAAAGGACATATCTGACTAAAAAAAATTTTTTTTTGTAATGTCCTATAGCATCTGTGCTGTGAATTGTTATAAAGTTAGACTAAATGCATCTGATTATAAAATAAAACCTGAAAAAATGTTGACAATGAATCAGGTTAATGCAAACAGGTATTTAGTTTAGGTAAATCATTTCTGCATCACATTTAAAATAGACCATCTTGAGTTCCCTGGTTTCTTTTTATGTGGTTTCTATAAATTCTCTACTTGGAAATAAATTTATCTTGATGGTGAGTCCAAGGAAAAACCTTATACTGACTTTGTTCAGCATCCCTCAGTGAAAAGGTTTGAAAAATAATGATTCCTATAGTTGGTAACCACTGAAAAGTAGCCTAAATATAAAGAAAACATAAAAAAACTAATTTTATGGAAAGAATGTAACAGTCTGGAAGCAGAGGATTAAAATGAATGCCAGAGATCAGGAATTTTAAGGGTCCTACTTTCAGAGCAAAAATGAACCTGAAAGGGGTTTCTTTTTGGAGTGATGAAAATATTCTCTAATTAGAGAGTGGTAGTGGTTGCATAACCTTACGAATATACTAAAAGACACTGAATTGTACATGTAAAGGCGATAGTTTATGGTATGTTAATTATGTATCAATTTTGAAAAACTGATCTGACTGTGGGAGAAGTGGTAACTCATTGTCTATCTGGCATGGGGTAGGAACCCAGCCAGGATGAGTAGAGCATCTGTGAGCATGGTGGCAGTGTGCAGCAGTGAAATTTGTTACATGTAGTGGGAATAGATTAAGTAACTGAGGATAACGAGAGCCAGATTTGTCACTGTTGTGGAACTGAGTTACTTCGGAAAGGAGAAAAACTATAATTAACTCTATGATATTGAATTGGAATTAGAGCATCACTGTGAATTGGGGGGGGGGCTGTATATGGATTTACAAATAAAAATGAGTATAAACATGTGTATGTTTATGTATGTGTACATATATTTATGTGTGTATATGAATATACTGACTTAGTCCACTGAATGGACCTGAAGGACAATGACATCCTAATAGCAATGAGCATGCCTGATGTTCTAAATACCTTTCTCCACTAAAAAGGACCAGGACTTCTTGAGAAAAGGACTCGTTTCAGGCAGTGATAAACCGGGAATATCTTGTGCCAGAAAGCAAAGAAGTGCTCAGAAAATGACAGATATATGCCAAAAGTTTACAGGAGCCGACTTGAAAGGGCCTACCCTGGCCAAATCTGGGACAACCTGAGCAACAAAGTAGATAATGATAGTAACAGATTTTAACTCATTGAATGGGATAGGAATCTTTGCATTCGGATGGATGGATGGATGGATGGATGGATGGATGGATGGATGGATGGAAGAAAGAAAGAGAGAAACTGCACCATAGAAAGGGTAATCAGTTTAGAAAAATCACTTTTTGGCAAGCATGGTGATAATTCATTCAACCAAGAAAATTAATAGATGCTAAAAGTAGTTGGCAAAAGTTTGTTGAAAGATTCAGACTGATACTTGTACAACAATGTCTATACTATTATTATTCATAAGATCTGATAGGTTGAAACAACCCAAGTGTCCAACTAAATGTGTTATATACACACAGTGGAATATTATTCAGTCATAAAAAGGAGTGAAATATAAAAAGTGAAATTCTTATACATTCTAAAATATGAATAAACCTTGAAAACAGTATGTAAAAGTGAAATGAGCTAGACATAAAATGACTAATATTGTATGATTCCACTTATATGAGATACCTAGAATAGGAAAATTCACAGAGACAGAAAGTAGAATAGAGGATACTAGGGGCTAGTAAAGGGGGGAAATGGGGAGTTATTATTTAATGGATAGAGTTTCAGGGAAGATTAGAAAGTTTTCGAAATGGACAGTGGTGATGGTTGCACGCCGTTGCAAATGTACATAATGCCACTGAATTTTACACTTAAAAATAGCTAAAATGGAAAATTTTATAATATATATTTTGACACAAAAATGTTTTTTAATTTAAAAGTTTGTTGAAGAAGGGAATATTTACATAGTCTCAAAATATCTCTTTGCAAAATACTTACTTGCTACAAAGAGAAAAAGTAATTTCAGAGGAGAGAAATCTGACCAACATTACCTAAATAACCAAGTAAGTGATCAGAGTTAACACAACAATACTTTTGTGATATTCTTACCAAAAATGCATAACCTGAATCAAATGATGAGGTAACATGAGATAAATTCAAATTGAGGAGCATTGTGCAAAGCAACTGGCCTATAATCTTCAAAAGTGTCAAGGTCATGAAAGTTAAGAAAAGTTACTGAAAAACTTGTTCCAGATCAAAAGAAAAGAGAACTGAGAACTAAATGCATTGCATAATCCTGAATTGTTGGATCCTTTTGCTAGAAATGACATTACCGGGACAAATGCGAAAATTTAAATGGGATCTGTGCATGGAATCATAATAATGTAAAATGTTAGTTTCCTGATTTCTGTACTGGTACTATGGTTATGTAAGAGGATGTTCTTGTTTATGGGAAATACATACTATCTGGGGATAATGGGACATTATGTCAGTGCTTTCAAGTGGTTAAGGGAAAAATATTATTTGTGGTGTTCTTGAAACTTTTTTGTAAGTTTGAACTGATTTCAAAATAAAAGAAGAATATTTACACAAACTTTAAGGAAAAAAATAGAACCCGAATAAAGGTGGTGATTGTGGGCAGGAACTAGAGCCCAAGATGAGGACTGTATTGGACGGCTAACTGCCAAAGAAGTGGGAAACTTTTTTTATTCAGTAAGTTACAAAAACATTCTCTCAAACTGATTTCAGGTAAATAAGTAGAGGATAATCTGAGTAGAGTATATCAATTATAATATGTAAATGTGCGAAAATCAGGTTCTAGACAGGGACCCTGTTACTTTGGATTTAGAATGTGAAAACAAAGGAAATCACCAAGCTAAATGTAATAATAGTTGTAGAAATAGGCCATTTTATTTTGAAAGATTCATGTTTCGATGTCTTCCTATTTTAGGTGATGCTGAACAGGAGCTTGGTCCCCCGCCGTCTGTAGATGAGGCAGCAAACACACTCATGACTCGTCTGGGTTTCCTCCTTGGAGAGAAAGTCACTGAAGTTCAGCCAGGTGACCAATACAACATGGACGTACAGGATGAAAATCAGGTAAACTGCTTGTCACCAATTCTGTGAAACATGGGATGAATCAACCTATTATACCAGGAAAGAAAAAATGTTGCGGGTGTGTGTGTGTAGAAGAATAATCCCAATTGCTGAATGCCTTTTGAGGCCTGAAGATATAACTTAATTTTCCACAATCACTGTATCTATTCTGTTCATAAAACATCTTTTAGTTTCATTCTTAGCTTTAAAAAAATCACTGTAAGATTTTGATTCATTTATTAAATGAATGGGTAAAGGAGCCGCCAAGTAAAATTGACCTATATATGTTTAAGCTTCCTTACAGTCCAATGTAGTAGAGTCCATTTATATTCCAATTTTTAGATATTAAAAAAATGGAAACACACTGCAGAAATTGGTTTAATAATATTTAAATCCAGGCAGTCTGTTAAGAACCTATGTTCTTAACAGCTATACCATACTGTTCCAGTGTAATATGACATAATAACACCTGACAGGATTGTTGTGAGGATCAAGTTAAATCATAAATATGGAAACACTCTGCTGTAAAACGCCATATAAATAAAAGGTATAAAATAATATGCAATATAATTAGTAAATAAATATATGAGGGAACTGTATGGTTTAGTAGAAATTACTTCATAGCTTTCATATTTCCATTTTCACGTTTCTTAAATGACGGAAATAATATCTCAGACTTGGTTGATAAAGGAGCAAATGAAATAACATATTAAAAATTTTTTAAACTGTACAGCATTAAACAAAGGTAAAGTGTTAATAATAAAGCTGAATGATTGCCTTCTTGGAATATCATACACATAAAACTATCTTGGAACCACAGAATAAAGTGGCTAAATTGATCATCAGGAGTTCAAGTCTTAGGAAGATTGCTAAGAACTAGGAGGTCATGTTCATTTGGTGACTTTCTTCTGAGCTAAACAGCATACTATCAAAGATAGGTTGCTTATATTTCATGCAAATGGAAAGGGGGGAAAAGCTGGGGTATCAATACTTATATCTGACAAAATAGACTTTAAAACAAAAGAGACAAAGAAGGACACTACATAATGATGAAGGGAGCAATCCATCCAGAGGATATAACCCTTATGAACATTTATGCACCCAACTTAGGAGCACCTAAATATGTGAAGCAAATCTTGATGGACATAAAGGGAGAGATTGACAGTAATACAGTCAGAGTAGGGGATTTTAACACCCCATTGACATCAATGGATACATCTTCCACACAGAAAATCAACAAAGAAATGGTGGCCTTAAATGACACACTAGATCAAATAGATTTCATTGCTATCTTAAGAACATTTCACCCCAAAGCAGCAGAATTCTTTTCAAGTGCCCGTGAGACATTTTCTAGGATAAACCACATGTTAGGACACAAAACAAGTCTCAATAAATTTAAAAAGATTGAAATTATATCAAACATCTTCTCTTACCATAATGGTCTGAAACTAGAAATCAATCATAAGAAAAAACTAAAAAACACACAAAGACCCATGTGGAGGCTAAATAACATGTTACTAAACAATGAATGAGTTAGCAATGAGGTCAAGGAACGAATCAAAAGATAGCTTGAAACAAATGAGAATGAGAACACAACCACCCCAGGTCTGTGGGACACAGCAAAAGCAGTCCTAAGAAGGAAATTGATAGTATTACAGGCATATCTCAAGAAACAAGAAATATCTAAAATTGAAGAACATATTCACAGATACATCTGATAATGGGCTAATACCCCAAATTTATAAAGAATTTATGAAACTCAACACCAAAAAAACAAACAGTCCAATTAAAAAATGGTCAAAATACCAGGACACTTCTCCAAAGAGGACATACTGATGGCCAATAGACATGTGAAAAGATGCTCTATGTTACTAATCAGAGAGATGCAAATTAAAACTACACATCACCTCACACCTGTCAGAATGGCTGTCATCAATAAATCATCAAACAATAAGTGCTGATGAGCATGTGGAGAAAAGGGCACCCTAGTATACCACTCGTGGGAATGCAGACTGGTGCAGCCACTATGGAAAGCAGTATGGAGTTTCCTCAAAAGATTAAAAATTGACCTGCCATTTGACCCAGTGATCCCACTTCTAGGAATATACCATAAGGAACCCCAAACACCAGTCGCAAAGAGCTTATGCACCCTTATGTTCATAGCAGTGCAATTCACACTAGCTAAGATTTGGAAGCAGCCCAAGTGCCCATCAGTAGATGAGTGGATAAAAAAGCTGTGGGACATTCACACCATGGAGTACTATGCGGCTATGAAGAAGAAGGACCTTTTGGCCTTTGGCACAGCATGGAGGGAACTAGAGAGTATTATGCTAAGTGAAATGAGCCAGTCAGAGAAGGACAAGTACCAAATGATCTCACTTATATGTGGAATATAGTAAACAAAATAAACTGATGAACAAAGTGGATCCAGAGACATAGAAGCGTGGAACAAACAGGGATCTCAGAGGGAAGGCAGGGAGGGGGAATATGGTGGGGAGAGATTAATCAGGGAACTTGTATGTTTATGGGCATGGCCCATGGACCTGGACATTGGCATGGGGAGGTCCTGGGGTGGGATGGATGTGGGGTGGAGGGGATCAGTGAGGTTAAAAGGGGGACATCTGTAATGGTCTCAACAATACAGATAAAGAAACATTAAAAAATTAATAAAAATCAAAATAAAGATGTCAAATTTATCATCAGTAACTTTTTCACTGATCACACATCATTTTGAAAAGGATAGAATTTCTTTGGTGTTTGAAAGAATAAATACTTTTATTCATGATGTCAGTAATTTATTTGAGTAAAAAGAGCTAGCCCAGCCAGGTGTGGTTCAGCAGTTGAGCATCAACCTACAATCCAGGAGATCGGGGTTCGATTCCCGGTCAGGGCACATACCCGGGTTGCGGGTAGGCAGCTGATCAATGACTCTCTCATCATTGATGTTTCTATCTCTCTCCCCCTCCTTTCCTCTCTCTGAAATCAATAAAGATATATATTTTTTTTTAAAAAAAGAGCTAAACAAAAGTGAATTGCCATTAAATTCAGTAAACCAGAATATATTGCCACCACTCTTTTTGGTGATTATTTATTCTTTCCCATCAAGAACTTAAAAAGGAGGTAACTTCAGGTGCAAGAATTTTTCAGGATACAAAGTTATCTTAATCTATAATCAGTTTCTACAGAGAAATTTAGTTTTTTATTAAAGTGATATTATTTGATTCATTTTATTTAGACTAACTTTTAGAATAAAGCATTTCCCTGCATTCATTTATTGTCTCTGGGAAGCCACCTATGTATCAAAAAAACAATTATTTGTATTAAGAACCTTATTTTTATTTTTCCTTAGCTGGAGTTTTTTTTTTTCTATCTAAAGAAAATTGTTAACAAGACAAAGTTCCAAGCCTTCAAACGTTTTATTGATTGAAAACAGCAAGATCAACTTATGCTTAATTTTAAAAAATTTTCCATTAATTCATGTCAATGATAAAGAATACTTGTCACTGGAAATTTTCTAGGCAGAAAAACTGGCCCAGCCTCTGCTCATTTTAAGTTTAAATTTCACCTTAATTGTAGAATGCAGTATCTCTTATCCTGGGAAGCAAAACCAAATAGAACCTAATAAATGTAAAAGCTGAATGTAGATTTTCTTCGTTTTCTCATCAAAGATTATATTTTACCATAAGATATATTAACAACTGATAGGTATATGTTATTTATTTTTCATTCCAATTTTTCAGACCTCAGCAATCACCCAGCGGATAAGTCCCTGCTCTACCTTGACTAGCAGCACTGCCTCTCCACCAGCCAGTAGCCCCTGCTCCACCCTCCCCCCAGTCAGTACAAATGCAACAGCCAAGGACTGCAGCTATGGAGCTGTCACTAGTCCAACCTCCACCCTCGAAAGCAGAGATAGTGGCATCATTGGTGAGTTGGTTTTTATGTTAATCATTTTATGTCTTTTTTTAAAAAAATAATTACACACGATTATAGTTTTAAAAAAATCTGATATTTGTTATCCTTAACAAAACTCTAACAAATTGAATCCAGCACTTATAAAACAGATAATAGGGACAATATATAAAAAGGATAGCTCATGACTAAGTGGAGGTGGGGGCCACTGGCATTTTGAGAAGGCTAATAGTGACTGCCCACTCTGATGGAGTTGACAAGGAGATGTTGCCATGGAACTGGCCTCCCTCATATCAGTGAGGATTCGGAGACCAGTTGGCAGTACTTAATTCTCAGATGCAAGGAGGACATATTATAAAGAGCTGCAAGGCTGGAAGGCAACCAGGGTGTCTTGCTTTGTAATTCATCATCTTCCCTTGTTACTACAAAATCCAGAATTCCATTTAAATTTCCAAAGAGAAAACTTCACTAAAAAGAACCATGGAAATTACCTCACAAACTTAGAACTTAAGTCTCTTCTTTTAACAATAGGTATATTTAAAATGAAAGAAAAGAATATGAACTTACATTTAAAAACTCTCCTGGGATGATATTTTATTCCTGTTTTATAACTATTATGGAGGTTTTTATAATCTAGATTTTAATGTATTTAAACCCTTCCATTTCTAGGGTTGATGGAAATTTTCCTGTTTATAATTCCTCTTTATAATTAGTGGTAAGACTCAATAAAGTTCTAGAAGCCTCTTCAGTTTTTGTTTTATTTCATTAAGAGACTAGATAGGAGTAGAGCTGTAGTTAAGTGTACAAACAAGAAGGCCCTGTATTGCTTCCTTATTTGGACAGATTCTTTCCCTTCTATTAGCTTCTACTTAGGGATTGTTTCTTTTTCTAATTATTTGTTACATATAAACGGGAAGAAAATAAAAAGTATAAATATAACGATCTTTTTGAGACCTCTGGAGTACTCCAGTAGTTCATGAAAAATTATATAAATTCCCTTTTGATGAAATTCTGAAATTGTTAGCATTGATATGCCTTCTTTGTCAGCCCTTTAGTGCTCATGTATGCATTTGTTTGTTTATTTAAGTAGAGTTGTTAAGATAAAAATAGAGAAAATATGTGAGAGGCACATATTTTGGTTTCAATTATTTAAGCTTAATGATGGAAATGAAAAGATCATCAGTAACTTTTTAAAAATAATGTTACTAATATTCTCATTATCTGGTCTTGAGTTTGGATAGTAATAAACAGATTAATCTCCAGGGTTGTTTTTTTAAATTCACTTTACTCTTTTTTTCTAGCTACGTTGACAAGCTATTCTGAAAATGTAGAACGCACAAAATATGTTGGGGAAAGCGGTAAAGAATTAGGATCTGGAGGAAACCTAAAACCTTGGCAGGCTCAGAAGTCCAGCATGGATTCCTGTTTATACCGCGTGGATGAGAACATGACGGCTTCCACCTATAGTCTGAATAAGATCCCAGAGAGGAATTTGGAAACAGTTTTATCACAGTCAGTACAGTCTATTCCTCTGTATCTTATGCCACGACCAAATTCAGTAGCAGGTAAGGATTTCCCAGAAATGACCATTTTACTGGCATATATATTGAAGTGAAAAGAAATTCTTCTCTAACAGTATTCAGATTTTCCATTCATCTTCTTTGACTGAGCTGCTCTTTTGAGTTTGGGTAATATACATGTGTATATCTCTTTGAACGTAGGGGAAGGCTTGTGTTCTTCAAGTGATTGTTTTGTTCTCCCAAAATACATAAAAACACACATAAAATCAGAAACAGAACCTATAAAGTATATTGTTGAACTTCTAAAAATATTTTTTCTCACATCAGAAGCCTTTGAAAGGATTTCAGTTTGAGGTTTTAAAGTTTTAAAAAACATTATTAAGTTAAAGTATATTTCAATACAATTTGTATTATCAGAAATCATCCTCCATAGTTTGAGGGAGTAGCAGGCAGACAAGAATTCCATTTCTCCATTCTAAGAGCTCACTGTTTTCACAGTCCCCTGGCTATCTTATAACAAAATCACCAGGTGCCTGCATTGCTAAAGAATAACTCATCACCACCGCTAACAGCCAGTCATAAAGGAATGGTTCAGAAGTTTAAGTGGCTGGAACATGGAGCCATTATTCTTAAGCAGCTGTTTAGAATTGATGTCTAAGGGTATTTTTTATACACCTAAGTCAGACAATGAACTTTTACAGAATAATTGGGAATTCTGGCATGTTTAAAATGCATCATCATTTGGACTTTGTCCATATTACAAAAATCAAAGTTACTTCTGTCTTTTTTACTTGCCTGATGAATGCCTGGATAGGTTTATTTCACTGACACAAGATAATAAATTACTTATTATAGTCAAGTGCTCTTAGTTCCCAGATGTGATTATTTATGTTATAGTGTAATGCTGCTTGTCTTTCCCAGTTCCCTTTTGTACCTTTTCTAAACCATTCCTTTCTTCTACCTTCTGGGAGACTATCAGCATCTGTCATCAGATGTGACTATGCGAGAATGGCTCATCTGGAAGAACAGTAACTCAGAAGATTTTATTATTTCAAGATTATTTGCTTTTATATGATGACAGAATATTTCCTCTCCTAGGCCTTTTTAAAATATGTTGATCCTTAACCGTGACATCATATTAGAATCCTAGAATGCTATAACTTATGAGAATGACATCGTGAGATGAAAAACCCAACAGTATTTATACAAATGAAAGTATATGTTGTTATAAAGGCGTACACAAGTGATTATAGCAAATCTTTTTGTAATAGCTAAAAATTGTGAACATCGCAAATGCCCATCAACAGGTGAATGGATAAACAAATTATAGTATATCCTTGCAATGGATACTACCCAGCAACAAAAAGAAATGAATTATTTATACTGCAACAACACATATGAATCTCAGAGTAGTCATGCTTAGTGAAAGAAGCCAGATTAAAAAAAAAAAAGTACATATTACATGATTCCATTTATATAAAATCCCAGGAAGTGCTAATATTCCTTTTTGTATTACCCTGTGGGAATTGGGGCTCAGAGAACTGGCACAGATGTTGATCTCTGGCTACTATTATTCCTCTGAGTAATAAACTGTCTTTCATCTCTGATGTAGATGTCCCATGTTTTTCAGTATTTAGGCTTGTTAGCTTAGATGTAGGATAAAATATCAGATCCTTCACAGTTCTTAACATGAGCTACTACTATACCCATACGCACAAAGTTAAAAGGAATGGCAGTGCTAATATTAGTAAAGATGTAATACAGTTGAAATTGTTATACATTGCTCACAGGAGTATTTACTAAATTGCTACCACCACTTTATAAAGCTGCTTGTTACCTAAAACCTAGCAGTTTTATTCCTACATAGGATGCCCATCAGAAATAAGTCCTTATGGCCCTAGTCGGTTTGGCTCAATGGTTAGAGCATCAGCCTGCATACTGAAGGGTCTCGGGTTTGATTCCAGTCAAGGGCATGTACCTAAGTTACAGGCTCAATCCCCAGCCCTGGTTGGGGCATGTGCGAGAGGCAACCTATTGATGTGTCTCTCTCACATCGATGTATCTCTCTTTCTGTCTCTCCCCTTCCCTTCCACTCTCTCTAAAAAATCAATGGAAAAAATATCCTTGAGTGAGCATTGTGAATAAATAAATAAATAAATAAGTCCTTACGTTCACCAAAAGACAAATAATAAGGATGTTCGTATCAGTTTTATTCATAATTCCCCAAAGCTGAAAATCCAACTGTCTATCAACAGTAGACTGGATAAACAAATTGTATACAACAATGAAAAAGAATGTAATACTGCTACAGATGATATTAGAGCGTATACATACTGTATGAAGTATGTATATTTATATGAAGTTCAAAAAAACAGACAAAACTATGGCACTTCTATGATGATTCCCACTACCTTTGGTGGGAATATCAATTAAGGGAGCCTTCTGTATTTTTATCTGAATGTGGTTGCAAGGGGGGGGCATGTATGTGTGTGTATAAAAAATTTATTGAGCTATACACAAAACTTACATACTTTATATATGTAAATCATACCTCAGTTTAAAATATATGTAAAGTATATTCAGGTTCCTGTCTTTCTAGAAGAATTTTCCCTTGGCTTTGGTTTAGAAATAGCAGTTTTAGACAACATAACTAGATCTTTGAAGAAATACCTGTTTTTAGTGTTAATTAAAAATAACCTAATAACTTCAACAAAATGATAATTTACTTATTTGTCAAAGTCATTAGGTACCCAGATGGGCCAAAAATTATTCTCATTTCCACCTTAGTTCAGTGGTAGCAGCACTGTGAAATTTTTTATTATTTTTAAAAATAAAGTATAAAATCAAGTATATTTAGCCATATTTTACTCAGTTCAGTAATTTTTAGTATATTTACCAAATTATGCAACCTTCATCATGAATCCGGTTTTACAATATTTTTATTATTCCGATAAAATTTGTAATGTCTATTTAATGTTAATTCCCACCCCCAGCTCTAGGCAACCACTAATCTACTTTCTATCTCTATAGATTTACCTTTTCTGGGCATATTATATAAATGGAGTCATACAGTATGTGGTCTCTTGTGTCTATTACAATGTTTTTGAGGTTCATCCATGTATCAGAAGTTTTTTCCTTTTTATTACAAATAGTATTCCATTGTATGGCTATTATTACCACATTTTATCTACCCATTCATCAGTTGATGGACATTTAAGTTTTTACAATTTTTTATTATTGTGAATAGTGCTGCTCTAATTCTTTGGGTGGACATACGTTATTATTTCTCTTAGATAAATGCCTAGGAGTGGAACTGATGGATCATAGGGTAAATTTATATTTAACTTTTTAGGAAACTGCCAAACTGTTTTCCAATGGCTGCACCATTTTATATTTCCACCCACAGCATGAGGATTCCTGTTTCTCCACATCTTCTCTACCATTTGTTCTCGTCTAAATCCCTTATTATAATTATTTGAGAGGGTATGAAATGACTAATGGTGTTGAGCTCATTTTATGTATTTATTAGCTATCCATATATCTTCTTTAGTTAAATATCTACTCAAACCTGTTGCACATTTTTTTATTGGGCTGTTGTCTTATTTGTGTAGTAATTTACTATATATTCTGGATACAAATTTTTATCAGATCTGTTTGCAAAATATTTTCTCAGTCTGTTGCTTGTTTTTTCATTTCTTTATTGACATATTTTTGGAGCACAAAAATTTTGATGACATCAATTTATCAATTTTTTCTTTTAGAAACTACGCTTTTGATGTCATTGTTTCTTTACCTTTTTAATAGAAAAGTGTGCCAATTATATCAAGCATTATAAAACAGTGATTTTTTTTTTTCTTTGCTATTGGAGTTTGTTTTAATTCAAGTTTTGGAAAATATTTCCTGTACACACTTAAAATGTTTTCTCTCCTCTTCTTTTCCCTCTTCTGTCCCTCCCCCATATTAAAGAAAGGTCTGGGGGATAATATTAGCCTGAGTTATTATTCCTACAGACCTTAATTATTGATTACGTTTTCACCAGTCACTGTGGTCATCCTGTAACACTGCCTATCTGACTAACAGAGATTTTCAGATTCATAAGTAGTACTGATAATGCTTTTCCAAAGGAAGGAAGGGAAAATAAGATTTGATATTGTCAGAGTAGTACGTATTGACTGTGTTGAACAAAATTCTTCATCAGATAATTATTTCCTGTCAGTGTTGAATGTAATACTGTCAAGGCAAGTCATAGGTCAGGGAATAGTTTGTATTGGGTTGTTCTCTGTGTCTGGAAACTGTGGTTTCAGTGTCCTCACAGAGAGGCAGGAAAGTGAGCTATAAACCAAATGAGTCAGGTATTTTTAAAATTGAACAGATTATAGGTTGAAAATATTTCCTGAATATAGAGAAATAAAATTAATTTCACAGGGAATTACTCTGCTAACTGTAAAATGTATGTAAATATTTGATAAGACCACCATTTCTGGTAACGTAAATGATTAGATATCTAAATCATCTTTTAAAATAAATGTTCTTGGCTCAAGAGGGTCCCCTCTTCTCATTTTAGCTCTAGATATACATATTTCCCTTTACTCTCTAGTGTATACAAGTGTTTCCCCAAACGGGGAAGATCAAATGCTCAAATCTCCATGGTTAACAGGAATAATTAAGGTTCTTAAATACGATATGAGCTTGAAATAGGGAGGGAAAATCAGTATATTTATACTTATTAAATTGTTCTAAGCATATGTACAGCAGGGAAAGAGGAGTATGTGATGAATGCCAATAATAAAAGGTCTTGTTCAAATCCAGCTTTTAAATTTCCCTTTTTTAAAAAACTTTATCTCAGTATGAGTAATATAATTATTTATTTTAGAGTCTAAATAATGTTGAATAGTGATGTAATCCCATTTTCCCCTTATCTTCTGCTATTTTCTCTCTCTTTTGTGGCTGGGTTAGGAATTAAAGGATTTATAGATGGAATGGGAGATCCTTAGTACTTGATTATCTTGAGAAAGCAACAGAATGTTTTTGGAATTCATGGACATTGACAGTTTCCTAAATGCTCTTTGGCAGTTCTCTGTCCATTGTCCCAGGTTCCCACCTTTCCAACACACACACACACACACACACGAAAATTGTTTCCAGAATGTTACCATATTTGGTTCTTTACCATAAAGGAAAAATGTTGAAAATAGGGTGTCATGTTTTTCTTACAGCTCAGTGTAATTTGAAACAGGTTTCTTCACTGATGATGTTTATATCTTATTCTATAAATGGGATTTGTGACCCCAAAAGAAGCAAATATAATAATCTTTGTTGTCAGGTACTAATGTTTGCCAGCTTGTTGCTAGTATTCTCCATAGGCCCAGGCAGTTGATAGTGATGAAGGAACTGAAGACAACTCTTGACATGTTTCTCTGGCTCATGTTCTAGACACTGATGAGGATTTTGAGTTCAGCAAACTCTTGGTAAATGTATCTGCTGGAGTGAGCTCTAATTCCAAAGTTTGGGAGATACAGACTAACTGAAAGTTTTTGAAATTTACATACTCTGACTAAACTCTTCTGTCTTGTCAGCCACAAGTTCTGCCCACTTGGAGGACCTTGCTTACCTGGATGAGCAGAGACATACACCTTTGAGAACTTCTCTTCGAATGCCAAGACAGAGCATGGGCGGTGCTCGCACACAACAGGATTTAAGAGGTTAGAACCACAGGATTGCTTTGCCTGGGGATGCTCAGGGGAAAATGGAAATAGGCACTAGGCAAAAAATTCCTTGGTTTCCAATTTCCACACTTACTTAAACCTCTCTTAAGATGTGAGCATGTAACCATAGAAGAGAAAGATAAATACAAATTCATTGCCCAAAGGCATTGTACTTGCCTACATTTGGAAGTGTTGGCATTAATTCCTTGAAATTCTGAAAGAAAACAAGTGGAAAGGGCTGGTGGTGATGGGGAAAATAACCTCTTTAAAGCCCTGGATTTCCTAAGTGATTGTTGACCAGTTTCAACCCTAGCCATTTTGCATCCTGAACTTGGTGCTGATAATGTGTTTTGCTAGAGAGTTTATTTCATGTCCATTCTAGTGGCCATTTCTAGTGACAGAGAGTACTTTTAATTTCTTGGAGTTTTAGACAGTGCTTTTCCTGTCCTGGCAACATCTAAACTTATCCTTTTCCCACTCAGGTACCTGTTTCTTTACACTCTTGGTGCATACTACATGTTTCTGCATTCGGGAGCCTGATCTTTATAGAGACTTTCATTTTGTTACAACCACAGGCTACTTGAGAGACTGTTATTGGTATCTCCACTTGTGCCTCATTTGCTCAAAACAAACAATTCTCTCTGATAACCTTACCACATAGTCTGCTTCCTGTAGTAGCTAGCAGTCCACAGCTCTGCTGCATCCAGTGCATCTTTAATTTTCTCTTACAGATTACTTCCATCCTCCTCGTGTCCTCCTCACCCCTGTCCTGTGCCCCATTCTAATCCAGTAGTGCCAGGTGCGTAGCTCACCAAAAAGGGGTTCTCTATACCTGCTGTCCTTTCTGGAAGAAGTCATACTGTCAGTTTTTCAATGATAGCTAGGCAGCTGGGAGCATAATATAATTGATTGTATTGCTACAATTACCATACCTCCCATCAGCAATAGTGAGTTGATGGCCATAGTTATAGTTTTATTCTCAGTTGTATCCATCCTGCTTGCCATTTCTTCAGTTAACCACATACTAGTTGCTTAGTATGTGCAATAGTACATTTCCAGCCCAGAAAGTTGCATTATGTCAAGTACTACTTTAGTGCTGGTAGGTTGATTATATCCAAGCATGAATAAGTTTAGTCAAAAGATTAAATAAATTATTTGTTCTAAGACCAGATGCATAGCCATAATAAAGAAGATTGGACCCAACTATTGATCTATATAAACCTTCAGATTTGGTTAAAATCTACCACATTGGCATCAGCATGCATCTCACTTCTGGAAAACATACTGACATTGTCGATTTTATTTTCTGCTTTGCTAGTCGATAAATAATGAATTTTATACTACATAGAAAACAAAATTAATTGACAGGTTTTAGCTGTGTGCTTTTAAGAACTCTTCATTTGGGTTCTATCAATACTTGATGGGACATTTATTTCTGTTTCTTGTATCTAAAGATTTGTAAGAGCTTTGACAAATGCATTTTAATGAGCTTGAGCACCCTAAAATCTTGTATTTATATGAGTTATATCTATTGATATTTACCATATTAGAAATTAAAACTGAGAAATTAAAAAAATATCTGTCCATTTTTAAAAACAATAATAGACCCATTTTGTGTTAACATCATGCAAGCTTTGGAAAATTCCACTATACACTATCAGAGAATGAGAAAGGCAAATAATGTATTAGTATTATGTACATAGTTTTGACTCTGTGGACCACCCGAAATTGTCTTGAGAACCCCCAGGGGTCCCCAAGTCACACTTTAAGAACCCTGGTTCAGAGGATACCTTTGTAATTGAAGATAAGTTCTATGCCTTTAGGAACCATACAGTCTGTTTACTGAATGCAGAAAAGTACAGTTTGAGAATAGGTTAGAAGTTGTTCATGAACATGTTTNTGTTTACTGAATGCAGAAAAGTGCAGTTTGAGAATAGGTTAGAAGTTGTTCATGAACATGTTTTAAGATTATAGGCATTGTTCATTTAACAGTTACCTTAATAGTAATTGCAATTGTTTGATCATAATGGTAGTCTTTTGACTGCTGAAGCAGAAACTGCTGGGGTGACATCTGAACTAGAATTTGGATCTTCAAGTGGAGTATTAACATTAACATTTACTTCATTAGTAATTTTTTTTTTTTTTTACTTCTTAAGGCAGCTGTTTTGAACAGCTGTTCTACCAAAATTGGTGTTCCTAGAGACCTGGCCCAACAATGGAGACAAGGTCACATAAGTGCACTGTCCGGGATCCCTTTGCAACAAGTTACTAGATTCCTAGCTGTCAGCCACCCAAGAGTTTGAGCTTTAATGACAGTTATGGAGGATTATGTACTAGGGCAGAGTATATAGCTGGCTAACCTTCCACAAGTGCCTTTTCTAGTCCCAAAGCCTCATTTCCTTGACAGATATTAATTTGAAACCTTATTAAAGTTTTTAACTTCAGTTTTTAAAATTATTTGGGGATCCATTTTTTAAATGTAATCATCATTATGTTAATGTGCAGTTATGCTAGAAATTATCCACCTGAAACCTGTCACTCTTTCTGACCATTTTAATGGGATCTCTTATTCTATAGAGAAAGACAAACTAATTTTGCTACCTAGTAAAAGGAAGGAAGAGGTTGTTGGTTTTTATGAATAAATGTAATAAACCTTATGATGGAATATATAAAGGGAAGCAGGGAGAGTTAAAATACACAAAGCAAAATATAGCATAATGACTTTGAATAAGAGCTACTTGGGGTAAATTAACAATAAATTATTAATGATACGTCTCTAACCTTCCTGATATTAAATCATAATCGCACTGTTCTGCTTGAAGACATTACACATTCCTAAATAAAACTTATTTCTCAAAATATGTTGGCTTCCTTAGGACTCTTACTAAATCCCATTATATAAATGGCCATTTACAGATACTGGGTTTAGTTAATAGCTGCTTTAATAGATACTAGGTCAGAGGGGGTATATGCAAATGATAGTCTGACTCATTGGCCGAATTTATGTGACACTGACCCTGCCACAGTTAACTTGGCTTTGTCAAAGCAAAGACTTCAGTTTTTATCAAATAAAATCAGTGCTTCACACCATTTTTGAGTCCCTCACTTTTCTAAAACAATGAATCCTTTATGAAGATGACTAAGATGCATGTCATGAAGCTAATAATCTTGGAATAGCCCACTGAGTCACACATCCCTGAGGTTGCTTAGTCATCTTGATCATTGCCTGGTTGACTCTCATATTTATGGGAATATTTCCACCAGTGTTTTCTGTCTCTTTGTTCATTGTTTTATTTTTAAAAGATTAAATTTCTTTCCTTTTAGGTAAATTCAAAATCCAGAGATAGGGTTGCATGCCTATATATAAATCTTAGATGGGTAGATTGTAAGCTTTACTAGTATGAGATTGATCCTCTCTCCCCCAGTCAGCGCTTTTACAGAGCACCCTAAAATTTGAAAATGCAGTACTCAAACTGGATGTCTTTGAATGTCTGATAGAAGCTAATATATGCTTTTTGGAGTAGTCTGACTGTGATTTTTTAAATTTTTTTTTTTTAAGCAGGTCACTACTGTTAAAGTAGCCCCAGATAGGTGCACAGATCTGGTTTTTATATAAGCCATCCTTATTTGCTAAACTCCATTTTAAATTCTGAAAACCCAAACAATAGCTAATATACAACAAAGTTCCCCCACAAGACCCACATGGGAGAAATAACAACCTTTGAGAAAGAGGAGAGTCTATGAACCACATAATCTTCTAACAGGCACATATTGACCTCCTGCATTAAATAACACTATTTAAAGAAAGGCTGTGAAGTAACATGAAAGAAATTCTAATTATGATATCTAATTCTGTAAGAATAAATCACTGAAAATATTTTTAAATGCCTTAAATGCAATAAAGAAAAATAAGTAACCATTAAGCCATTTTGATGTTTTGATCTAAATTAGATTTAAAGAGTCAGTTTCCCAGTTAATCTTTCTATCATTATTTTCTCCAAAAGTTACTACATCTTATTAAAGTATCCATAATGTTACTGAATTTACTTAGGTAACATTTTGCAAACATTTTTTGATTCAGTAAGATAATCTAAGCTTTCCAATTTATAGTATAGAAAAGATTTCTTTATGGGATCACTTCCCCAGATACTAGAAAAAAACAGAACTGCAGAATTTCCTTTGTAGGACCATAGCTATTTTATCACTGAGAGTTCACTTAACATTTTTTAATCTTAAATTTCAAATAACCAGTTTTGATGCCCCAATAAAAATAAATCTTATGTGTCACCTTCAAGGCCAAGAATCTAAAAGCACAAAATTATGTTGACATAGTTATATAATTATCTTATCAAATGTTTCACATTTTAAAAGCTTTACTGTTTTTATATTTCCCCTATATTTTGTGGTATTAAATGTGAGGAAACATGTAATAAGTAGCAATATTTGGAAGAGTTGAGTTTTCTCTATTTTACCATTTTCCAAATATCTTTGTTCCCTTCCTGAAAATTCCATTCAGCAATGACTCCAAATTGTTCTGAAAAAGTGTTGTCCTATAAAACCAATATCAGAAAGCTGAAATTCAATACGCAAGTTATTCACAACCTGAAAGTATTATTTTCCAGAGTAAGCCTTTCCCCTTTTTATTTCCACATTAATAGAATACAATGGATTTCTTAAAACACTAAGACAAATGTTGAGAATGAGACACTTTTAAACAAATATAAAAGTGATAGCTGACATTTATTGGAGTGCTTATTCTTTATGGACATAGTGCTAAGTTAAGCTTTAAACATGTTCTTATTTAACCCTCACAACTCTTTGATGTAAGTAGCACTAGTAAGGGAAGTGGGACTTAGGTTAAATAACTTGCTTAAGGTTACATGTCAAGTAATTGGAGTGCCAGGATTCATTTTATATCTGGCAGACTCCAAAGCCTGTGCTCTTAAACACCGTGCTATACTTTGTCATAGACAATATAATATAAAAAGCAATATAAC